AACGAAAGTCCTAACCTCTCAAATAAAATCTTAACAGCAGATATTGAAACCACTTAAATAATACAAGAACTGGAGCTTCATGGTCATCTCACCTAGCTGAATGGGTGAGCTCCTGCTTTACTAAAAGACCCTGTCTCCAAAAAAGATGTGGAGATTGAGGATTATATCCAATTTACACACACACACACACACACACACACACACACACACACACACACACACACACGCTAAAAAGAAAAGCCAAACTCAACCAGCACATGTTTGTAACCTCAGTGCTGGGGAGGCAGAGGCGAGTTCAAAGTCAACCTCAGCTACACTGTGAGAATAGCCTATTTACACAAGACCCTGTCTAAAAAAATAACAAGTAAAATAAACAAAATAGGGATGAGAGAAAAAATAAGAAATCCAGAAGAATTGTGTTAAATGGAAACCAACAAAAGTGATGAAAAGTTGGAAGAGATCAAATTGAAAAGGCACTATCTGTAGAAAACAATATGAAAATAGATCAGAATATAACCGGAAAGCAAGAGACATTTAGTATAAACTGAAAATGATAGATGCTAAAAGAAAAATTTTGAACATGACCAGAAGATAAAATACCATTTTACTTTTTTAGACATGGTCTAAACATCCAGGGTATTGTTTGACTCAAGGTCCTTCTACCTCTACCCCCTGAGTGCTGAGATTACAGACATGTGGCAGCAGCCCTGTGTGAAAAGAACATAGTTCAAACAAGTATTTACTAATATTAAAACAAGTGAGAACAGAGATATAATATTTAGATAGGCATGTATATAGTCCACTCTATAGCATACTAAGCAAATATCCTCTGTATCAAAAAAAAAAAGATAAGAAAATCACAGTGTGGCCCTCTATGACTCTGAAGCAAACCTATGCCTCTGTATAGAGATGGAATCGCTAACTATGACATAACACCAAATGACACATTGAGTTTCCTTTTTCTGAAATGCGCCAAGCCTAAATTTTAAATATATATATATATATATACATATATATAGCAACAACCATCCCCTTCAACTAGAGGACATATCCATTCCTTTGAATAAGAAGAAATGCACTGCAGAAATTCTCTCAGTCCACATCCATAACTTTATAAGGAATTTCATACAACAGATGGAGTGAGGAAAGGAAAATCCTAGGCCTGGTTTTACAAATGGTTCTGTATAATATGATGGCACCAACCACTCCCTAATGACAGGTGGCCCTGAGGGTGGCAGTGGAGAGAAACTCTGCTAAGGAGAAAGTTTGCCCCGTTGTCTGGAGTAAAGCATGGCCAGAGTGTGGATGTGTGCTGATTCATAGGTCGTGTTCTAGCCTTTAACCTACATGATCAGGAACTCAGAGGAGATTGGAACACTGATGCAAAAAGTTGAGAACCAGGTATTGGATGGATCCTTTAGAACCGGCAGCAGAGTAGGCGGGCTATAAAGCTACTTCACACAGAGCATCATATGAAGGGAAAGCTTGCAATATGAGAATGAAGTGAACGGCATTCACTTTCTCCAGCCACCCTAGTGCTTTCTAAGTGAACTCATATGCGAAACAGTCACATTGTCTGAAACAGAGCCTTTGCATGAGCTTGGTAGCATGATCCTCTCACCAAGGCTAACCTTGTAGCTTTACAACATACATTACTACTGCTGAGTCTCTAACTAGTCAACAGCACAAACCAGCACTGGGTGCGGCATGTTTCCTTGGATGTACAAGGAAGCTGCCTCAACTGAGTTTGATCATATTGACCATTTCCTTCTGGCATGGATAAAAGATATTTTTTAGTGAAATAGGCACATTTTCTAGAAATGCATTCGTCTTCACTATGTTATAGAACACTTGTGTTGGTAGCACTTGCCATGGACTCATTATTATCATTTTTAGATTAATAAACTGATCTCATGGAAAGAGGAAAGTTGTTCATGCCCATGGAATTCACTAATCCAATGTATTTCATCTGTAGGAAGCAATTGCCCTAACAGAATAATACAATGCTCATGAAGACCTGGTTGCTTCAGAAAGCATCTCAAGGGAGTATGATGATTTCCGTTGGTTTGTTTATTGAGATAAGGTCTCACTCTATAGCCCAGGCTGGCCTTTAACTCACAGTAGTCCTTCTGCTGCAGCCTCCTGAGTGATGGGTTATTCATGTGAATCACCATGCCTGGGTGTGATGGTGTCTTCTTGCAAGATGCAGTGTATGTTTTAAACCAGAATGGTGGGGTCCTTCCCATTGCCAGAATATAGGAATCAAGAGAAAAGGGGGTAGGGGGTAGGGGGATGGCTCAACTGGGAAAGTTCTACCTATGAAAGTATGAAGACCCGTGTTCAGTCTCCCAGGATGCAGTGGTGTAAGCCTGTTAACCCAACACCAGAGGCATAGGGACAAAAAGAATCTCTGGGGTTCACTGCCCAGTCAGTCAAGTTAAATCTGAGAGCTCCAGGGTCAATGGGAGACCTTATCTCAAAGAAGAAGGTGGAGAGTGATTGAAGAAGACACCTGATACTGACCTGGGCCCTCCATATGCACGCACACACACAGAAACATGCACACATCCACAGACATGGGGAGGGATTGCGACCCACAGGTTGACAACCACTGATGCAGGATTTAATCCAATGACGTGAGTGGGACAGGGGCACAGTTAATCCCAGCACTGGGGAAGCAGAGGCAGGCAGATCTCTGTGAGTTCGAGACCAGCTTGCTCTACCAGAGCTAGTTCCAGGACAGCCTCCAAAGCCACAGAGAAACCCTGTCTCGGAGAGGGGGTGGGGGGAGAGGAGAGAGAGAGAGAGAGAGAGAGAGAGAGAGAGAGAGAGAGAGAGAGAGAGAGAGAGAGAGAGAGAGAGAGAGAGAGAGAGAGAGAGAGAGAGAGAGAGAGAGAGAGAGAGAGAGAGAGAGAGAGAGAGAGAGAGAGAGAGAGAGAGAGAGAGAGAGAGAGAGAGAGAGAGAGAGAGAGAGAGAGAGAGAGAGAGAGAGAGAGAGAGAGAGAGAGAGAGAGAGAGAGAGAGAGAGAGAGAGAGAGAGAGAGAGAGAGAGAGAGAGAGAGAGAGAGAGAGAGAGAGAGAGAGAGAGAGAGAGAGAGAGAGAGAGAGAGAGAGAGAGAGAGAGAGAGAGAGAGAGAGAGAGAGAGAGAGAGAGAGAGAGAGAGAGAGAGAGAGAGAGAGAGAGAGAGAGAGAGAGAGAGAGAGAGAGAGAGAGAGAGAGAGAGAGAGAGAGAGAGAGAGAGAGAGAGAGAGAGAGAGAGAGAGAGAGAGAGAGAGAGAGAGAGAGAGAGAGAGAGAGAGAGAGAGAGAGAGAGAGAGAGAGAGAGAGAGAGAGAGAGAGAGAGAGAGAGAGAGAGAGAGAGAGAGAGAGAGAGAGAGAGAGAGAGAGAGAGAGAGAGAGAGAGAGAGAGAGAGAGAGAGAGAGAGAGAGAGAGAGAGAGAGAGAGAGAGAGAGAGAGAGAGAGAGAGAGAGAGAGAGAGAGAGAGAGAGAGAGAGAGAGAGAGAGAGAGAGAGAGAGAGAGAGAGAGAGAGAGAGAGAGAGAGAGAGAGAGAGAGAGAGAGAGAGAGAGAGAGAGAGAGAGAGAGAGAGAGAGAGAGAGAGAGAGAGAGAGAGAGAGAGAGAGAGAGAGAGAGAGAGAGAGAGAGAGAGAGAGAGAGAGAGAGAGAGAGAGAGAGAGAGAGAGAGAGAGAGAGAGAGAGAGAGAGAGAGAGAGAGAGAGAGAGAGAGAGAGAGAGAGAGAGAGAGAGAGAGAAAGTACAAGCACACACAAAGATGACAATATGAAGGCAGGACAAAAACAGATGGCTATCTGTAAGCAAGGAGCATAGACATCGGAAGAACCAGCCCTGCGGACAACCCTATCTTTTACTTGGAGCCTCCGGGATCATGGGTAAAAACATTTCTATTCCATAAACCACCCAGCTTTTAACACTTACTTTATCTTGGAAAATTAATGCAATTGCTAATATGTAATTTTTATCGTCATGTAAATTAGTATCTCCATTTTGCAAAAATACAGTAACGCTAACCGACCAAGCAAAATCCCACATAAATCAACCTTATAGTTTTTTAAAATCTTTAGTAATTCAGAGCCTTGTGCATGCTAAGCAAGTGTTCCACCACTGAGCTATAACCCAGCCTTTGAGTTCCTTCTCTCAGAGGCTTGTGGCCTATTTCCCTCTTAATTACCCCAATTCATCTTTAATTCCCAATGATAAAAAGATGGCGTTTCCCATTTCGGTTATTAGCTTATTAGCTCTTACTGCTTAGTAAGTAATACATCAATACAGGAGTCTCTCCTTAACTGGGGTTTTGATTTCCTGTTTTCAATTACCGTCAGACAATATAGTTCAAAATATTAAGGATTCCATAAATAATTAACTCATAAGTTTTTAGTTTGTCATCCCACTCTGAGTATTAAGATGAAAATTTGCTTTATTCCGCTCTGTCCCAGCGGGGTAGAGATTTCCTAAACATCCTTACAGTACAACACAGCTGTCTTCGCTTTAGATCAACTGTTAGATACGCAGTGCCTGAACTCGGGTCCTCTTCACTTAAAGCCTGACTGACGCTAAGGCATCAGGACACCGAAGTAAGGCAGAAAGGCAGGGCTTTCCTGATAGCGATTCACGGACTACCGTGCTGGGGTCTTCTCTTGCTGAGAGCGATGGCATGCTAACTGGTAGTGGTTGGCGAGGCGGGCCCGTAACTTCAAGGACCAGTGTTAGGATATAGCACGAGATGCGTGTCTCCAGCAGGCTGAAATAAAGAGACCTGTGTGTGTGTGTGTGTGTGTGTGTGTGTGTGTGTGTGTGTGTGTGTGTGTGTAGGTGGTGTTCAGGGTATCAGCAAGCTGGTTTGTCACAAGAAGCATACGTTTTATAACAAGCCACTGCAGAGCCTCGTGAGGCCAAGAGGACGCCTCTGGAATTAAAACGGGATCAGACCCCGCGGCTTCGTCACGTTTGAATTACGTAAGCCATGAGCAGGGCACCGAACCTTTCCTCGGTGAGGTTCCGTCTCGCTGCCCCAAATGATGGATGACAGTCCCCGCCGCGTAGGGGAGGGGGCTGGGGGTAGAGGGGCCGCGTTCCCGAACGTTTGCAGGACGCTTGCCATCGCGCCCCTCCGGGATTCCGTGCAGCGGCGGGGCCCGGGTCCTCCGGGCAGACGGACAGGCTCGGAGAGGGAGGCGGCGGCGCGAACTCGCCACGGGTGCCGGGCCGCGCTGCCCGCGTTTGAAGTCTCCGGCGCGGCCGCTGGTTGGCCGGCGCGGGTCACGTGCGCGCGCGCGCGCGCGCGCGGGCAGGAGTTTCCCCGACAGCTGGAGGCTGCGTGGGATCCGGCGGCGGCGGCGGCGGTGGCGACGGCGGCGGCGGCGGCGGCGGCTGCAGCTCGCGGCGCGCGGCCTTCCCCGCCCCCCTCGCTTCCGCGCTTCCGCCGGCCCCCTCTAACCTACGGCGGCTGACACAGCGGCCGCGGCTGCGAGGCGAGCATGGGCGACAAGAAGAGCCCGACCAGGTACGGGGCGGCCGCGGCTCCGGGGCTGGAGGAGGAGGAGGAGGAAGGGGGGAGCGCGGCGGCGCGCGCGGATGCCCACAATGGGCCGCGATGGCAGCCGGGGTCAGCGGCCGCGCTCCCCTCCCTTCCCCCGCGCGGCGCCGGGCGGGGGAGGGGACAGGAGGGGAGGAGACGGGGGACGGGGCGGGGGTCGCGGGCCGAGCGGGGCGGGGCACGGCACGGCATGGGGCCGGGGCGGGTGTGTGTGCGTGTGTGGAGGGCGCCGCCGGGCGCGGCCTGCCGCTGACCCCGCGCTGCGGCGTCGTGTCCGGTTGTGTCCTGCAGGCCGAAGCGGCAGCCGAAGCCCGCCTCGGATGAGGGCTACTGGGACTGCAGCGTCTGCACCTTCCGGAACAGCGCCGAGGCCTTCAAGTGCATGATGTGCGATGTGCGGAAGGGCACCTCCACCCGGTGAGTCCCGCGCACCCCGCGCCCGCGCCCGGAGGCGACTTCCACCTTCCCCCACCACCACCCCCCCGCGGGACCGCGGGCCGGCCAGCCAGGCGGCGGCCGCGGTGGGGCGCGACCCAGCTCCGCCGACGTTGGCGGAGGCTGTGGAGGCAGCGGAGCCCCGCAACGGCCGCTGCGGAGGATGAGTGATTCAAAGGGGGGTCACCGCTCGCTGACGGCTGCTGCTGCTGCGATGCTCGTGCTTGGCCGGTGCGGTGCCCCCTCCGCAGCCCTGCACGGGGACGTTGGCCGCATTGTTGTGTTAGTGTGCAGGAGGGGGATGGGAGGGAGGGGGAAAGGCCGCGATGTCATTCGACCCTCGGTGGCGAAAAAAGTATCTCGTTGTAGGATCGGAATAGGTTAAACTTACTTTTTTAGTCATGGCTGTATGTCCGGGAGGGTCGCTCGAGGTTTTGCGTCGTGGTTTTGTTCCGTTTCCGTAGTATTTTACAATTAAGTAATTGGGAGGCGCACCCAGGGACACATTTTTACCCCCGGGTATCTGAGTATCTTGAGACAAATGAGATTACATGATCTTTGCCTGTTTTAAGCCCAAAATTCGTTGTATGGTAGACAGAGTGTTATAATCGCCCTTAAAACAAAACACTGAACTGAATTAAATCTAGCTTTTGAATTCATTTCTTAGAGTTTTGTGATTTGTAGCGATATTTAGATAAGATATTTGATACTCCGAAGCCTATTAAAATACACATTGCTATACTACAGTAAGAACAGTGAGAAGTTTCTTGTTGCTTGAAAAAGAGGGCCTATGTAATGTTGACATATCCTAAGTAGTCAGTTCAAGTTATTTCTAAAAATGTGTTGAATGAAGTTCATAGAACTTTATTAAAATTAAGTGTGGAGACATGCCAGAGTTTTATTGTCTATACAATACTAGTTGCTTTTGATATACCTGTCTTGTAAATCTCAATATGTTTTTGCTGTGACTTTCTCATTTACATTAGATACAATATTTCCAGCCCTTTGCGATGTTGATTAAAAAGCAAGTTTTAAAATACACCCTGTAAGTTAAAGGAAAGATTCTAAAAGGAGAAACTATTTGCTATTTTTGAACTCACGTTGTAAGCATTTTGAAAAGCAGGGTGTCTATATAAGGATGGAACGGCTTAGCATATGATTGTACATCTACATATTTGTAAATAAGCAATATGTAGAACGTTTGGCTTTTTGGAGGCAGGCACTTTGAAGTAGAGACAATTAAAATAATCCTAATCTCTGCCACTATACTGCTGCTTTTGTGTTTTGTTTTCCCCTCTGTTCTCTTGTAGCTAGCTGTTAGGAAAACACTGGAATTAGAAGAGCCTGTTCGCTTATTTGCAGGGACAGCAAGGAAGGGGGTAAGCTGGTGCCCTACTCCACAGCCAGTCTTGGAGTTAGAGGAACCCTGAGAAAGAGATAGCTGGTGTCACTCAGGAGAGAAGCTGTGGGCGTAGTACTTGGCATCTGGAAGAAGTACCCAGGGGACTTGACCCAGATCAGAGGAATGGGCCTACTTTAAAAGAGGCTTGAGGCCCACCTGGGGGCCCTGACATTTTTTTTTTTTTACCAGTATATTTGAGTTCTTGAAGTCCCAATTCTTAGTGGTGGAAGCATTACTTGGGAAGGACTAAGAGAAGCATTGTCATTTGGATTGAAACTGAAGAGGCTCTAGGCAACTCACCAGAAGTCTGAGGGACACTTTGTGCCTAAAAGTAAGTGTTCTGCTGTATGACCCTCTCAGCTTTGTCCGTACTCTGTCTACATTGCCTCTTCTCTTTTGACTTTGGCCCTAAATTAACTGTAAGAGCTCTTATTTCTCTGTTACCTGTTCTTCTGCTGTTTCTGATATGGAGCGTGGAATCCATGTTTGGATAGGACAGTAGAACAGGGTGCTGTTAATAAGTAGATACTGATTGCATGCAGAATATTTTCTTGTCAGAAACAATAGGAAAAGAAGATGGAGGACTGTAGAACACAGATGCAAAGCCCAAGTTTCAGTGGTTGGGAGAAATTATTCCCCCCAGTTGACATGTTTTATTAGCAGTTAGAGTGATTTAAAGAATACGGCTGTCAACCACAGCAGGAGTGGGTAGCTGCAGAGCACAGGGCTGAGGCTTGCTAATGACTTGTTTGTGTGACCATAGCCATAGCCAGTATTTGGATCCCTTGGGTCAGACAGGCCTCTGAACTGAATCTGTCTTAGTTGCCAAACGTGAAGCCAAGTCTAAGCCATTCTAGATTTCTGTTTTTGAGTCAGGGTTTCTGTGTATATCTACCTGGCTGCCCTGGAACTTGCTCTATGTAGACCAGGGTGGCTTCAAACTCAGAGATCCACCTGCCTCTGTCTCCAGAGTGCTAGGATTAAAGGCATGCTCCACCAACACTTGGCTAATATGTAATTTTTTTTTAAGCAACTGGTTCAGATGCTTTATATTGGAACAAATGACTGTTTCCTTTGGCTCCATCTTTGGTAGGTTGAGTCATTCTGCAGAGTGGGTTTACATATACGGAGTATTGTCAGGATAAAATGTAATTGGACATAGTTTGTGCTACTTTCATCATTGAATTTCATTTTGATGATTTTAGTTTAAATTTGTTTAGTCCTTTGAAAAAATCTAGACGTCTGACAAGAAGACAGCTCAAGGATCTTACATTTCTGTTTTATGGTTCTATGCAAACAGTAATGGATGTCAGAAAGACAGGATTCTTTTGAGTCAGCCTCACAACATTCCTCTTGCCTTAGTCTTTTGAGTGCTGGGATTACAGGTATGAGCCACCCCAGACAGGTACTACTGTAACATTGTCAGAGGTGCTGCTTAGTCTTATGCATAGCTGGTTTCTGATGAAAGTGAGTATCACAGAGAAAGCATGTGGGACTTTAGGGAATAAACTGTTCAGTGTTGCAGACAGAATAGTATTTAGTATTGCCTATGACAGTATTAATTGCTGCATGGATTGAATTAAGACAAGTATCTTCATGTAGGAATGGAAAATTAGTTCCTTCCTTAATTTGGATAGCAGATAGTTACAAACAAAAGTGACAAAGTTGTTTGTTTTGGTTTTGAACTGTTGTCTGAATGATAGCCAGTAAGCCATCCTAGTCCTACAGCCATTCAAGCAGAATCTGTAATGTCATTTTTCAGGATAGGCATCTCCTTGGTCTCATTTTGGGAAGATGTGGAAAAGATGTTACAGTAGAAAAAGTGCTCGTGTTGGGGCAGGTAGGAAGGAGTCTGGTAACTTCAGCACTCAGCAACATTTCCTTAGTGCCTTTGAGAGGAAATTTTAGTTTCCCTTGTTAGTGTTTTGTGGATGCAAAACACTTTTGGCTATATACAACTTTGTAAGTGAGGGGCTGGAGAGGTGGTTCATCAATTCAGAGCACTAGGTGCTCTTCTAGAGGACCTGGGTTCTAGTCCCAGAACTCACTTGGCAGCTCACAAGCATCTGTAGCTCCAGTCCTAGAGGCTCTGATGGCCTCTTCTGGCCTCTGTCAGGAACAGGCACATACTCGGTATATAAACATCAATGCAGGCAAAACACTCATACATCTACAATAAATGAATAAATAAAAGTAAATTCTTTATGTGAGGTAGTATTTTTATATCTTTAGTGTGAACTGAAGAGATGAAAATTATCTATTAAAATGTAAATTCTAGCTAGCACAGTATTAAGGTTACTATTTGACTACTGATAAAAAGTTATTTTAGTTTCTATAAAGTAGGAATAAATTGTAAAGTACACATTTGAAGAGACTAAAGCGACCAACTATTAGCAGGTGAAAATCTTTACATTGTTCCTATTATCTGTCACAGTGACTTTCTGTTTGTTAGTTTGAGGTTTGGTACCAAATTTTCTAGACATTGGTATAGAAATAAGAGAAGCAAAACAAGGGCCATATAATGGTCTGGGTTTTCTTTTGAAACAATGGTTCCAGATCCTTCATTACTTGAAGTACATTTCTACTTGGTATTTAGGGCCTTTTTCTCAAGTGCTGATTATCTGTTTATCTTGGGTTAAAGAACTCACACAAGTTCGTTGTTTATAGGGAAATTGTGAAGGGGATTAAGTGTTTGGGTTGTATCTAGTAATGATTTTCAGAGTGTGGA